GCCACAGAAGTGTCATTGACTGCATTGAGTTGCGCAACACCGGGCTTGCTGCTTGACTCCACTCTAATCATCATTTGATCATGCAAATTTCGAGGGCCAGGGTCTCGCATGGAATCTGAAACAGCTTCTCTATTTTGCAGCATGTCTATTCTGCATGTGCTTTCGACAGCTTGCCAAAGGTTAATCACAGCACCTCCCCTGGTTTGCACTTCTTTATATAGTGGTTCTTGTAAGCCATGGTGCCATATGGTGCCCGTGGCATTTGACTTCCATATCAAAGTCTTCGTACAGGACCCTCTGCCCGTCCACCGGTGCAAGTCAATCCTCTCTCTGAAACCCCAGGCTGCCTCAAAGCCGGCAAGCCAATATCTCTCTATATAGCTATACTAGCAGCAAGAAGCTACTCGTAGCTCCTGGCATTGCTACTAGGAACAAAGGGCATCGCTACTAGGAGCATGAAGCTAGTAGGTTGGAGACCATGGCTATTAGTAGCAAGGACGGTACTAGTTGTATTATCTACAGTAGCTCTTGATGCGCCTGCCATGATTGTGCCAACCTTTCCACAACTGCCCGCCACATCAAAGCGTTCCCGTGATCATGCCCTCCAAGCCTATTCGGCTTAGCTTCACTTCAACCTGAGCCGCAGCCCAATGCAGTAAACAACTCAACGTTTGTCATCAATCAACAACCAAAGTTGCAAAAAACAACAAGAAAGCATCTGCAAGGGCAAACGTTTACATATTACGTTGAATGTTGGAACTTTGCATGGTTTTGGACCTGCAAGATTGAAACCGTCTCCCTCGTTGGAAAACGACCAGAATGAACACTTACATCAATCTTTCAAGGGAATAGCAATCTCTCTGCGCACCGCGAAGTGCACACCATGCAGTCTGAGAATCCTAACGGTCGGATCACATAACTTGGGTCTCGTTGACCATTGGTGATAATTTGGTGTAAAGGTTTGTTGCCCCCTGCTGATTAAGGACCAACGGGATATTCGTGGGAACAACTCTGCAGTAAAGAGCTGTGGTGAGGGCAACCTGAGGGCACAACCTGATACAAACTATAGTGGAAGGCGAACATTGAGATGTAAGGGCGAGTCTACGGAAATCATTAGCCCCAAACCTGAATCTTGTGCCCACAAGGAATGTTTAGTTGAAACCTGGCTCTTTTTGGATGGAGTAAGTGAGATTTTCACAGTCCAGCAACATGTGTATGCGTGTATGTATAGGGGGTACCCAATTGGTAGAAACATGTTGCAACTGTTGGAGGTACTGGAAACATGTAAGGCCTGTTAAAATCTGATTCGATTCTGGATGAAGCAAGCACTCCTCACCACCGAAGCTCAGCCTTGTGAGACCAACGGCAAGCCTGCGACCAAAAAAAAAGCTGGCGAGGCCGACATCGTCGGACCAAAAAAGCTGAGCGAAACGCAGTGACCGGAGGGACGAGGTGACGATGTGCGCGCGGATGAGGCTGGAAGGCACGGATGGATCGGAAGCAGTGGGCCCCTCATGATTGATTGGGTCTCGCCCAGTGGGACGTTTGGTGGGACGTGCTGTCTCACGTGAGACGAAAGAACTATGGCTCGATAGACTGTTATAGGCTCATAGCGGCGCATGCTTCAGTATGCTGGGCAAGACCTTTCTGGATTATGAAATTTCGGACTGGCCCAACTCTCCCCTTTGGTGCCTCTAGCTTCCAAATCCAAAAACAATCCTGGAAGATTCAGAAGATTGAGGTGTATTCATTTGTGTGAGCAATCGTAACGATCATCATTTCTCCAACTTCAATTTACTATATTTACTTGCCCTTCCCATCCCCAATGTCAATGGCCGTTCTCCCGCGAGCATGAAGCTGAAATGAAATTGTCCGCTTGAAAAAAAACAGTAAGGAGCATGAAGCATGCCTGCAAACAACATGGCAAATCACCAGCGATCAATTCTCAACATCTAAACTGATGGTTTTGTTGCAAGCTGCTTGCGCCTCTGTGGCCGCTCCTGGCCAGCACTCAGTCAAAGGAACCCCCACAGCCCCTACTCCCTTCCTGTGGATCTGCGATTTGCAAATTCTGAAAAAGGACCTTCTTGCTCGGAGGAGCTTTTGTCAATCTATGTGAATTGTCTTCATAACGATTCTCGGCTTTGCCTCCAGCGTCGTCCGAGACCCGTAGAACCTCAGCTTCACAACCAATCTCACTATCATATCATTTATCCATAATTATCCTGGAAGTATCTTTCTTGGAGTCACTGTAGAGTGTAGAATCCCGGACTGACACCGACATACGCGGACTGACACGTCTGTTACCTCATTTGGCGCCGTGCCATTTGGGCCTCTGTCCAGAACACCGAGATGTTGAAACCTGGACCGGCCGCACATGGGGCTCCACCGGTGGTGCAGCCTGAAATGCGTCGGATGTCCAGGTTCCTAGGTCCTAAGACCCCACGATGCATGAAAGCTTCTGCGAAGCCACTCCGCCGGAAGCAGGTCGCCAAAAATCCCGAAGTGTCACTGACAGGTTTCAAGTCCAAAACCATCCAAAACCTCGAGTTTTTAGTTCGTCATCATGCTTCATCACCAGATCAAACAGCTGCCGCAGCTTCCCTATCCTCGCATGTTGCTCATCTGTGCCCCCCAACTCCACACCCAGATCGTTGCCTGTGAGTTGAATCTGCTGGGAATGCTTCATGTCTATGCGGTGCCTGGCGTGTGGCGCCAGAAACATTGCAGCGGCATCAGTGGTGGGCACCCTGCTGCGGTCGTCATCATCCACTGCGTAAGACTTTTTGGCATTTATTTAACAACAAATATCTTTGCAACAGCAAGGGCTTGGCCGCCAGGTCGTCAAACATGACCCACAACTCATTGACGCGCCTGACGCACTGATGTGTCATCCTGTTTTGAAAGGTGAGACTGGCAAGTCTGAGACTGGTTGCCGTTCCCCCACGGCCACGCCTGAAATTTCGAGTGCTGGAAAGGTCTGGACAACAGTGTTGTTTTGTTCTGAATTATGTGTCCCTTGTTTTGTTGTTCCGAAGGTTTTCTATGTGTCCCTTGTTTTGTCGAAAGGGCAGCAATCAGGAAAATTTTTATCACACACAGGCTTTGTTTAACACACACACACCACAAAAAAAAAAAAAAACGCTGTGCCGTCTGTTTCCAAAATGGGCCACAAAGGAAGGGATATGCGACTTTTCGGGAAGGCCTATCATCAATTTCCATGAACAACTCCTTTTGCACATGGCTGGTGTTATCTGGTGTTACAGTAGTACGTCCCACCAGAACATTTTAGCCAGTGAAAACTATCGGTTCATTCTTGTCTTTGTGTTGTGAGCTTTACCCACCAAAACCATGTCTACACCCCTCATGTCGTGTCAAATCACCCCCTCCGCTGCCCATGCTCTGCATCGTTCTCCGCGGCAAATCCGCATGGGGTGTGCCTCTGGCCATTGACCTCCAAGTCCAGCCAAAGAGACTCCGAGTTCATTGGGTCTGGCCATCCGTACCTTCAGAAGTCGCCAAAAACTCAAAGAGCAGTGATAAGTCCGTTGTTGTTTAAGAGTGGTTGACTGTTTAAGATATTGTTATATACTGTATATATATATATATATATTAGCACCTGAGAAGGGAGGGGACGAAACCAGCCCTCGTAGACACTGAGGACAACAACAGCAACAGGAACCTCGAATTGGTGTTCGCCAGCTTCATATGCCTTTGCAGCTGCAGCAAAACAAAGTATCCCGTAAGGTCTTTTCCAGGAAAATTTGGTGCTACCTACAGATGCCCTTCAAACAGGCCGCAAACATAGTTTTTTCTGTGTTTTCAATGCATTTTCTTTACAGCTGCTTGGGGGGGTCGGCTAGATCCTGAAAATAGCACTCCTTAGCTGGTGCCCTTTTTTCTTCACTAAAACTTTAACAACGATTAAAAAAGGGCACCGCCACACATGGCCTCTTCGTTGCGTCCGTTAGTCCTGTGTTTCATCCACCACACATGGTCTTCTTCGTCGGGATCTTTATAGCAGCGACACCCCTGCGTCAAAATTTGTTGTCAAGCCCGCGCTCTCAACGAAAGACTTCAAAGGTACATCATGCAGAATGCCGTCTATGCAATCTTCTATGTACTCGGCTTGCGCAGGAAATGCGGCAGTCTACGTGGCTCTTTTGTGCAGTAAGCTTGCCACGGTAGATTGTCTTTACAGCAGGGCCAAAAAACAGCCTTTCAACGTATTTTCTGTACAGCTGCTTTGGGGAGACACAGCTAGATCCAAATCCCTGAAAATAGCGCTCCTTTGCTGGCGCCAATTCTTCTTCCCGTATACAGAAAACGCTACAGTGATAACACGCGTGCTTTGCAGGTTGCCATCTTTACAGCTGACCGCATCGGTGCCGCAATTTGACTCCGCTTAAATGATATGTTTGCAACTTTGCGATGCTACTGATGCCTACTAAATCTTTAGGCATCACTAGCATGCCAAAAGCCCTTATATATAAGCATGCATTTTGACTACATTTGTGCATCACCTTTTTTGTCTCTCCCCCACCAGGCTCTGGGCTTACTCTATCCTAAAAGCAAATACTCATGTCGTTCGCCCATCAATCAAGCACTCCAGCCTAAGCCTAGCCTATCGGCTGGCTCTCGCTAAGAATTGTTTTTTTGAGTTTTTTGTAGAATTGTTTGTCGATGATCTGGCGTGGGCTTGTACTGCATGCATTATCATATCTATGCATATCTATGCAAGTGTATGCGTACGTGCACTTCTTGACAGCTGTGACAGTATGCCTTATGAGGACCAAATGCTGCTGCAATCTCAAAACAGAATAGATATGAATAGATGAATCTTGTGCCTGAGATGGCTTTGATCATAGCCTTTGTAAGTAATTATAGCGATAGTGACCTTTTGGCTCAGAGACGTGCTGGAAATGGGCCATGCACACCTATCTGATCCAATATGTGGGTACATCATGGCACATAATGGAATCACGTCCAAATTCCGGAGGTCACCACCCTGCGCAATCTTGAGTCTCGGTCCTTTGTTTCAGGATTTGCCTTTGGCGTCCTCCCTGGCACTCACAGCAATGCTGAGCAGGATCACCAGTGCACCCAGGGTCTCTTGCGCCGAGGGCCAGGGATCGCCCAGCAGAACTCCGAAGGCTAAGTTGAGGACCACGTTCAAGAAGAAGTACCTCGGGATGCTTGAAGTGCCAGGAGATCGGATCGGATCGGAGGGGTGTCCACCCTTGTCGGTGTCCATGTCGGTGTCCATCCACTCCGGTCGAAAAAGATCACTGAGACTGAACGAGCTCGCTCGACCGGTGCTACAACGAGCGAAAGACCGCAAAAACCATGGCACAGGCCGATGTTCAGGCTCTGTGTGGTTTTCTTGCTCAGGGCTACAAAAGGTTGGCCGAGGAATATGAAATATGTCTTCCGCAGTCTTCCACCGCTTCATTGTCAGTTGTCACGAGCCTCGTCATTGAACCTGGCCGAGCCCTGACCCTCGAGTCGCCATCTGGTGCTGGGTGTAGGGAGGAACCACACTGAAAGAATGCAAAGTACGTACGACTGTTAGTTTATATATATATATATGTGTGTGTGTGTGTGCTGTGATGCGCTGTGTGTGTGTGCCGAAAACCCATCCCAGTTACATTGCTGAACAGGCGGCTGGAAGAAAGTAGGCTTCAGTAGAATTCCGACCATCATTTTGGATGGGATCGCTGCAACTGAAGAAAGTGCTGGAACATCAAATAGGTGGCCCCCCAACCGAATTCCTAGCTCATGAACCTTCACCCCAGTTGGAATTGAGCCTTCCAGTTTTGTACGGTAGATCTCGGTAGACCTGAAATATAAATAAGTTCTTTTGTGCTAAGAGGCTTTGTGGCGCTGACCACTGGGCTTCGAAGCACATATGTAAGGGCCAGCTGGGCCTTGGCGTCCGATCGACCGTGGCTCGATCGTCACACACGTCCGAGGCGTGACTAGTAGTAGTAGCGACGTGAGTGGAGTGGCGCTGGTCTTTGGTCGCTTGACGTGTGGGACCAACATTGTACATGTTGTTTCTCCATTTTTCACCCAAATCATGGTGCAAACCATGGCCCACTGCAGCAACAGTGGTGGCGTTGCCAGGGCACTAGTTGCATCGACACAGCGGTGATGAGGATCCAGCTCGCCTCGTTGACCGTCGGCCATGCAAAGCCTGCCGCGGCGTTGGAAAACGAAGCTGCCAAAGGGAAGGGGAGTGGGTCAAGTGGAGCCATGCCAAGCTGCCAAGTCCGACACCCGAGAAACCACGACAATGTCATCCCGATGTGCGTCCCTTTGGTGTACTGTATTCCCCCAAAAGGGACGCAGTGAACGCAGGAAGTCATCCCTCATGTGTATTCCCTTCGACGTTTCGCACATTGTGAAGGCAACAAATCCTTGAGAGTGTTCTAGGCCGGATTTCAAGCAATGTTGAACAATACATCCATTTAGTTTGCGTTTCAGTGGTAGAAATTTTGCACACAAAGGGGTTGAAGCCACATTTCCCCATGTCAACGCAAGGATTGTTGGAGTGCTCACACTGCACTCTTTTTTCCTTGCTCACTTCTACACCACCTTACAAGTATCACAGAACCTTACAAGGTTGAAAGGAAATGGAGAAACTTCACTGAGAGGAGGTGGCAAATAGGCGAGGTCCAGGCGAGGTCCAAACATGAATCAAAGGATTCAAAGGTGCTCTAGAAGACATATGCACCACGTGGCTGTAAAAACCAACTCTAAAAAAAAAAAAAAAAACAACATTGTTAATCTATGGAGAAACATGTTCTGCCCGCCTATAAAGGTTCCACTCAACAATACCTTTGCACCAAGGGACTATGAACCATTTCAAACAACGATGCAACAAAGGTTGTTGAATCTATGAAACAATGAACGCATGGGCACACCGCATTTAACACCAGTTCACAAAACAATTCTAAGAACAATTATAGGACCGGATATCCCCACATGTTAACAACTTCACCAAACACAGGAGCGGACAATTGGTGGTTGGTGGTTGGTGGTGGTTGGTTGATGTGTTGACATGTCAAACACATCTTTCACCCATTGACCCAATGTGGCGAATCATTTTGGATCCCGCCTCGGGGGAGGCCCAAGGCCAAGGCACCACAAAGGTTTCCCCAATGGAAGGCCTCTCGCGCATGGTGCGCCGGTTCCCCCAGCACGGCCAAGGTTCGCACACACAGCAACGCTGCAGCAGTGAAGAAGGCGGCGAAGAGCGCAGCTGCATAGCCCCAAGACGTGCCAGTAGAAAAAAGGTCCTGAAAAAGCAGGATCTCTTTGAGCAAAAGCGATCCTAAGTCGGTGAAACTGGTCCTTGAAACCTGTCAGTGTTCAAATGTCTTCAGAAAGGAGGTATTCAATGGAATTGGAGGCAACGGTTTTGGCAGTGTTGAGGCCTCTGTAACAGCTTCAAAAACACAGTTTCTTCTAAACTGCTTTGGAGGTGCAAATCATGGGGGGCCAAAAGAGTATCAGTGCAATGTGGTGTTGCATCTGTCAATATCTCGCTCAGTTGTGGCGAATCACCTCTCAAATCTCTCAGTCCTGTCTTGGTGCCAGCAAAGCAGTTCCCAGAGTCGCCACCAGCAAAACACCAAGCTGTTGACGTGGCACAGGCTCACCTAAGATCAGCCCAGCCAGGGCAGTGGACAGCAACGGATGCAACCTGGCGTGGGCGTGCGGCGGTGGGCGGGGTGAAGCTAGAAGACCTGAGGACATCCGCAGGGCTTCAACAAAGTCTCTGTCATGCGGTTTTACACGCGGTTTCATCCATGGAATCCATAAGGGAATTCATTTGCCCACTGCGCCTCCTGGTCTTGAGATACCTATTGATACATCTATATAAATATGGTTTGTATTGTTTTTATGTCTATACAAGGCTCGGCTCTCAAGTTCTCGACAACATATCTGCACACAGTTACGAGCAAACTTCCCGGGGGTTGGAGGCCTTTTGCTTCTCCCATCTCCCATGGAATCCGTCACCATCTCTTCTGAACGGACATCCGTCACAGGTCCTTCAATAACATGTTTATCATTTTTTGGTTACCGTGTTCAATCGTGCTCAGCTTTCCAAGAGAATTGGGTGGTGAAACACGGATGAAGCACCAGCAATGTGTTTTTGCATCGCCTGGAAATCAGCGTGAGTGTGGCCAACGGGATCCGCGCAATGGCCTCGTAGTAGGCGGACACCTGGCCAACTTGAGTCGTTGGGACTCTTTGTGCTCATCCTGCTAACGCGCATATGTTTTACCCAAGAAACCAAAAGCTGGATATAAATAAAGAAGTTGTCTGATACAACTTTGGAAAAGAATGGGCAAAGACAGGTACTTATGATAAATAAGATCACTGATAAGATCCTCAAAATCCTCAAGTCACCAATTAGCACTGCATTGCTGAGGTGGACAAACTTTTCTCTGGCCTCATTTGCCCAAGCCGGCTCAGCAAACTCATAAGGTTTCTTAACTTAGGTAGCCTACTCAAAGGATCCGAAATCCATCGAACTCCTGTCCTGCACTTACATTCATGGGTGTCTTGCAGCTGGTTTGATTCTGGGCTTGAGGGCTGAGAAGATATCAGTATTTATGCAGTAAACAGTAGGGGGTGGGAGATGGACTCATGCTAACCCAGCTGCCCTAACCTCCCCGATATCGCGCCGGCACCAAACGAACCTCCTATAGTGCTCCCCTCCAGACCCAGCTAACCATGATATGAATTGATCTGCTAGTAGCTCCTAGCATCGCTACTAGTAACAAGGACGCTACTAGGGGCTCCTGGCCTTACTACTAGGAGCAATGTTCGCTACTAGTACCAAAGGGCATCGCTACTAGGAGCAAATAAGCTAACTCCCTGGGCCTGTTTAGAAGACTCCAAATTCACCGGCCAAGGAGCTGCTATGAAACCCAGCAGCCCGCGCAGCAGGAGCAAGCGACGGTTGGGTGACCTCAGCGCAGGGATAGCGCAACCATCTGTAACCACAGAGTCTTGCTCTTTCTCCCTCTTCCCACAGGTGTTTTAAATTCGGTGCAATTGCGAGTCCCCCTATATTACCCCTATTTCTTAAATAGTTCATAGGTATTAATGGATGAATTGGCTTTACAGCGGTTTCAGAGTAGATGGCCCAATCACTCAAGTTAGTTAGGTGGTTATTAAACACCCCCATCTAAAAGTCCTCTTGGAGTTTGCTCCATCTACTACTCTGAAACCGCTGTAGATCGAAACACCACTTGATTCCTTGAACCCCTCCATTGGCCCTTTTAACGACCAAGGAGCAAAAGGAGCGGAGGCAGCGAACGCTCACCGTCGACCGGAGCCAGGATCACGCAGCAGCAGCTCCGGAGAAAGATGCGCTCCTTTTTGGTTCAAAGGGAGGGAAGAGTGGTAAGAGAGTTGGAGAGAGGGATGGAGGAGGATGGAGGGAAGACGTCATTTTTTGGGGAAAACCAAGTCCAGCTAAAGGCTCGAAGCCAGATAGACTCTGTTCGAACAAACAGTATTTTAAGGGTGGTGAGCTGTTTTCGACGTGTGATCCTCGACTCGCCCGGCTTGTCTGCTTCATGTTTGTGTAGGGTCCGGTTGCTGATGAACAAATGAAAAGGGTGACTGCGGTGACTGCGGCGACGGCCCGGCTTGTCTATGACGCTCGGGCAGCACTGCTGCCCAGCTGGATCTGTGATGATCTGTGTGGGGCTCAAATCGCTGAAAACACGGTCAAAGCACTTCGATCCCCTCTCAAAATGCCTGGCTGGTTGAGTGCTTGAAGAATTCTTTGGAGGCACAATGCCAGGTGTGATTAGTTACATCATATCCTTCGGCGTTGCGAGCTCTACCCCTTCAAAGTCGCCTGGAACCGGTGCACCGCTTACGATCAGCTTGTTTCTGCTTTTGGAGTATCGACCTGACTGATCTCAACGCATTCCAAACATTCAAAACCGGCTGCTGCATGTCGATCAATCAACTCCAACGACTTGGCAACTCGAGGGCGATTGAGTTACGAAACGGTATGGGCCTGAAATCAACCACTTCGATGGGCTGAAATACTCCAAGCAACCAACACACGCATTCCCGTCGACCTTGTCACCCTAACAAAAAATCAAGTAAACATAAATGCAAGACCTCATAAGACCTCCTATGACTCTGTAACCCTTACGGACTTACGGACCCTCTGCGCGATCGACACCACCTCACCTGCGCGCTGCAATCACCACCGAGGCACATACGAGGAGAGGCGGGTCCCGGTCGCCTTCGTCGCCTGATGGGTCACAACCCAAGCGAAGTAGGACATGAGGGTTGGTTTATCACCCCATGAGGGTGACCAACCCTATCACTCATGAAGGGTTGAATGTTTCAAACATTCTTGAGGTTGATTGGTTGGTTTATCACTCGGTGGACCACTCGGATCCACTGCCGTTGGCCACAATAAGTGACCCTCAAAATCCAAGCAATCCTCTCAAAGGGCAGGGTCGAAGCATGTCGAACCGCAAGGTCTTTCCCGATCAGGACTCCGCATGATCCCACACGCCGGAACGGTTGAACCATGTTGGAACCATCCATGCCATCATCTCATCATCCGAGTCCTGCCCTTCCTAGGCCCAGGTGCTGCTGCCAAGACGGAGAAGCCCAAGGCCATGGCGAGTCCGGCCCACAAGGTGCCTCACTGAGGAAGAATGAGAAAATTCGAGGCACTGAGTGAGGCAAAATGCCCTCCAATGCTTCGAATGCAAATCTTCACTGATCTTCATTGTATAGAACCCCGATGGAGAGACGTCCAAAACATCGTCTGCTTGCAGTGACGTCAATTGAACACAAGTGTGTGTGTGTGTGTGTGTGCGCGTGCGTGTTTATCAATTATCACAGTCGCAGTAGTGGACATTTGACTTTTGACCGGTCGTGATACGGACTCTATAGCTGGGGCAAATGCTGGCAAGTCATTGGAGGACTTCGGCAGCCGTTCGGTAGGGGTGTTCAACTCTCCATGCTATTCCTACCGGTCCTATCAACGATCTCGACGGTCGTCCGACGACGGATGTTGGCTCCGCGGAGCCCCCGAGCTTCGACCGAGCCGCCGGGGCTCGACACAGAGCTCCGACTGGGGAGTCGTCGAGGTTCATCGGCCGCGAGGGTCGCGGCTGCGGATCCGACCATGGCAG